GTGCAGTGGCTCCATTGATTGACTTAGAACCAACTGCCAATGCTCTAAGCCAGGCGTGGGCAACCTTCGGCACTGCAGATGTTTTGGACTACACCTCCCATGATGCTTTTCCAGCATTATGTGTGTAAGAGCATTATGGGGGATGTCGTCCACAACATCTGGAGTGCCGAAGGTTGCCTATCCCTGCTCTAAGCCAGTAGCTCCCCATTCATCAAACAGCTTGAAAAAGGTACGTACCTTTCTCAAGCCATTTTTGTTTTTAAACAGAGGGTTGTTACAGAGATAAGGAAAGTAGTAGCAGTTGTGAGCATATTACAGAATATCAAAACTAGCAATTGTGATTCCTATTTGAGTGTTAACATGTCTGGGTTCACATACAGTATTCTACTGTTCGTAGACTCATAGTATTTTGCATCTAACAGTACTATGTTATATACAAGTAAAAGTCCCATTTCGGAAAAGGTATCATCTGGCTGAGGGAAATCCCACGGTCACGTCTAGAGTAACTCATAGGAGTCTAGGTTTATTGGTTCTGAGATCTTTGTTATTGTCGGGAGGTATGTCACGTTTAAGGTGTACACAAAAGCTGTTAGTCACATTTTAACCCCTAACGGTAAGGAAGCACCACGGACCTCCCCTTCATGTTCCTTTAAATGTGCCTTCGAAGAACTTCTGAATATGACCAAAAATTACATTTTGGATATTTAATTTGAAGGCAAATTCCTTGGTATCAATTTAAATGTAAAAAAAAGTGAGACAAATTCAGCCTGTGCTGAATATTCTTTTTTTCAGCATATTTATACTGTAGTGTAATGTTTTTCTCTTCTATGTTACACGAAAATTGACATGGTCAATTTAACTCTGCTTCTGCTCAGTGGAATATATTCGTGCCCTCAGGCTAGCTGGCTTTATGTCAAGTGTGAAAGGAACCATGACATTCTCAGTCCCTCTGCATAAGGTGCTGTAATAGGAACCACATAACAGCATACACTCAAAGTATTGGTTACATATAAAATGCATTCAGGATTATCCACTAAACTCCGAATATTCGCAAATTAAATCCAAATAGAAAAACTGAGGCAAAAAAAAAGCTGATCTATCACAACTTGGTTATTTTACCTCTACTTTGCCATTTGGATTCAATTCTCAAAAATGTAGTTTAGTGAACAGGGAGATAACACCCGATCTAATGCCGTTCTGACCCTTTTATGGTGACTCATGTTTCGTTTTTACTTTACACTAATCTAACCAAGAAGGTTGTATTGTCTTAAAACTCCCAGCATCCTCAGTATAATAATATTTGTTATAATCAATGTTGGAGCATCAGCAGCTCGGTGCTTTTAACTCTTTCTTTTCCAGCTTTTAGTTACTGCATTAACTGCATTTTTTCCTTTTCTTTTTTAGGTCAGTATAATTTCTACATTAATTACCATGCAGGTACAAAAAAAAGGGGATACAGCCACTGAGGAACTGTATTTGTTAAACTGCTCAAAAATTCCAAAATGTTAATAGAAAACTAGGAGTTAAGCGTTAATAGACGTACAGAACCGTAATCTATAATGAGCTGCATGTAATATACCCCAATATACAGCTGCTAATCAAAAGAACATGGTTGTCTCATATATCCTGTGTTTTAACTACATAGTAAGTCCAGCTATTTTGTGTCAATAGTTTGTTGTAACTTTATTATTGCACCATATTCTGATAAATCTTTTTTGGTTACATATTGTTATCTTACAACACTCTAATCACAACCCCATCTTTTAACCCCTTAAGGACCAAACTTCCGGAATAAAAGGGAATCATGACATGTCACATATGTCATGTGTCCTTAAGGGGTAAAGCATGGGCATTAAGGAATCGGTCATGCCACCAACTACTTTTAACTCTGTTTAAAGACCTTTCATTTATGCATTGTGCTAGTAGTTTTGCTAGCAAATACATAGATTCAAAAATAGGTTTTTCTCCCACCATCAATTCTTTGGCATGGACAGTAAATATTTTTCACTGCACTGAATGAGCCTGAATTTGGTCTGGATTTAAGCCTGATCGAACACCCCTGGATAGCTGAAATCCAGACCCAAATACTTCAAATTGGGCCTGGATTTAAAAAAAAAAATTCCAAATGATGAATGTTAGCTTAATAACAGAGTGTATATAAATAAATGCTAGGTCATGAATATGGCATATAATATCAATGAATACACTGCTTCTCTCCAGGAATAATCCATTTTATTTTGGATTAAAGTTACCCTTATCCACCTAGGACAGACTTTGTTGCTGTAGTCTGGTTGTCAGACGCTTAGCAAGGTCGTGATGCGGCCAGGGGCAGATCCTTTATTTGTGTCTCCGCAAGCCATGGCGTGACAGATTGCAGGTTCCTCACAATCATATAGTTTGTTCCCTTCCCGTTGGCTCTGCTTTCACTTTGCACCCTTTCCCCTTCGGTCAGTGGTGTACCTACAACGGTCACAGGTGTCGCCACTGCAACCAGGCCCATGACTCCAGGGAGCGCGGCCACAGCGGCGACTCCTGCGACTGTCACCCACCTGCATACCTTCTGGGCCCGTGTCCAGCCGCTTTCATGTGCTGCGTTGGGGGAGAGCGAATGGGACACATTCAGGAGCTGGGGAGGAGGAGCGAATAGGCCACATGGAGGGGCTGGGGGGAGGGAAAGGGACAAATGGAAGAGCTGGGGGGGATCGGACACATGGAGAGGCTTTTGGGGGGAAATGAGACACATGGAGGGGCTTTGGGTGGGGAATGTGACACATGGGGCCTGGAAGGAGTGAATGAGATACGTCTATGTTTGCGTAAAAATAAAACACATCCGTTATTTGTCCATACTTTTTCTTTTATTTGTTGGTTTGAAGAAAAAAAAGAAATATTTAATAGGGGTTCCATCAACAGCATGCCTTTTACTGTAGATATTGCATGATCTGCTAGCACTCTTGGGACTAAGAGGCAACGATATGTACTGTACATCACCAGCTGAGAAACATATGTACAATGGAGTAGCTACATACTATGGAACAAAGTGGTTAAAAAATTATCAAAGGAAGAAAAAGATAAACATTTAGCTTCTTCTGTATCGGAGGGGGAACACTCAGCTCATACACCTGCATTTCAAACTCCATTCCAATGCTTTGCAGGTAAAATAAATTGCACTAGGTTCAAAGATTAGTAGAATTGCACCCATAAGAACAAAAAAGGTTTTGTCCAATCGTTTAACCTGCACCGAGACACACAATACTTTTATGTCAATTGAGCTAGTATCATGTCAAGGGAGAGTCCTCCTCATAGTAAGTTGGAGCAATCGTAAAGAGTCAGGTCGTAGATAAAACAGCTTCATTTGCATGATTTAATAACTTGCTCGTAGGGCGGTGGAGGTGAGTTATAGTAAGGAGGTGGTGGGAAAGCCTGATTTCCTTGGGGTGTGCTCGGCTGGGTATAAAAAGTTGGGGTTGCTGGGTTTCCTGCAGCTCCTCCAGGGTCAGAGTAATATGGCATTCCGGGTTGAGGAGGTCCTACAAAAAAAGAAACTGTAAATATGTCTATTGTCTACTTGCACTCCAAAGCATGTTTAAAAGTAAGGTGTAGGTGTCAATCTTTAATTTAAAGTTGCACAGTAATTAAAGCATCAGCATCGTTTTAGTGAAGTGTGACTTGTGACCAAAAAGCAGTTAAAAAAAAAAAAAAAATTCAACCAGTTAAATTGGACGCTTTTTCCAACTACTCTATTTTGGCAAAATTTCAAAAGTTTGAGAATAACCCTTCATATTTATTCTGAGAATTCCTTCTTCACATACTCCTTAAAAATCAAGTTGTCTTTTCATAACAATCTGTTTCTTAATTATCCTTTTAAAAGATGCAATGTCTAATCACTTTACAATAGGAAAGCCTATTGCTGGTGCTCTATAAAATGAAAATTCTATGATGATATAAGCTTTCTATTGACATGACTGGCCAAGAGAGGCTACTTTTAAAAGTAATTGGTGTTGTCCCTAAGTGAAAGAAATATGAAATCTGGTTTAGTCTTCTGCAGCTTACCTGTGTTTAGCTTGGTATTGTAAAAAGGATGAAATACAAATATAAATACAATGGAACTTATTTGTGTAATATTAGCATTTATGCGATTTGTTTCCACTTCCTTTTTGTGTGACTGAAAATGTCCTACATTAGATGCCATGTTTATTGAGTAGTATCTGTAGATTCTGCAAATGAAACAAGCTGTTAACTATTTTTCATATACTGCAAAGTGGCTAGTAATAGTATACTATATTTATACCTTAAAGGACCACTATAGGCACCCAGACTACTTCAGCTCAATGAAGTGGCTGGGTGCCAGGTCCCTCAGGTTTTAACCCTGCAGCTGAAAACATTCACTGAGGGTTAATCCAGCCTCTAGTGGCTGTTTCACTGACAGCCGCTAGAGGCGCTTCCGCGATTCTCACTGTGAAAATCACAGTGAGAAGACGACGGACGTCCATAGGAAAGCATTGAGAAATGCTTTCCTATGGACTGTTTAAATGCGCACGCGGCTCTTGCCGCGCATGCAGCGCTGATGTCAGCAGGAGGAGGAGAGTTCCCCATTGCTGAGGGAGCCTGCCGCTGGAGAAAGGTAAGTGGCTGAAGGGGTTTTAACCCCTTCAGCCCAGCAGGAGGGGTCCATGAGGATGGAGGGGACCTATTAACACTATAGGGCCAGGAAAACGAGTTTGTTTTCGTGGCACTATAGTGGTCCTTTAAGTAATACACTGAATGGATACTCTAAGCAACAAGGCAACTTTAACTTAAAGGGACACTACAGTCACAATAACAACTATAGCTTAATGAAGTTGGGCTGGTGTGTATAGCCTGTCCCTGCAAGGCTTTTCAATGTAAAGAAAAGGCAGTGTTTGCATTGTTGCCTAGGAACATCTCCAGTGGTAGTCACTCAGATGGCCACTAGATGCTTCCTGGGTCAGTGTTGAACAATGTGCAGCACTGACATTCAGCATCTCCACGCTCAATTTTCCGTGCATGTGCAATAGCCACCTAAGGCTTTCCTATGGGAAAGCGTTGGATTGGCTGATATCATCAGGTTTGATGATCTCAGCCAAGGTGGTGAAGTGTGGGCTGGGCCAGCCGTGATGGATCTGCGTAACACTGAAAGAAAGTTGACTAAAAAGACAGAGGGGCCGGTTTGTATTCCTGTGACTATAGTGTTCCTTTAATGAAGCAGTTTTGGTGTATAGATCACTCCCCCTGCACTATGACTCAGTTCTCTGCCATTTAGAAATTAAATTATTAAATTCCTGTATTTTAGACGAAATGAGTCTGATGTGACTGTTTGACTAATCTTTAATAAAGAGGCTCTGGGGAGCCTGGAAATAATTTTACCACGCTGTGACTAGATCTTTTAATTTTATTTATAGATATTTTCCATTAATGAGCAGCGTTCAGGGAACCACGTCTTATCATATCTTATCAAGGTTTGGCTGGTGAGCCCATGTAAGCTGCAGTTTAAAAAAGAAAAAATGTTTAACCCTTTTTCAATGGACCAGGGCTGTTTTTACATTTCTGTGGGGTTTGTGTTTAGCTGTAATTTTCCTCTTACTCATTTACTGTAGCCACACATATATACCATTTTTCTCGCCTTTAAATGGTCTTTCTAAAGATACCATTATTTTCAACATATCAAAAAAAATTATAAAATATGATGAAAAAATGTAACAAAACACACCTTTTCTAATTTGACCCCCAAAATCTGTTACACATCTACAACCGCCAAAAAAATGGTTTCTAAATTTTGTCCTGAGTTTAGAAATACCCAATGTTAACATGTTCTTAGTTTGTGTTTGTTTTTGCAAGTTATAGGGCAATAAGTATAAGTAGCACTTTGCTATTTCCAAAGCAATTTATACAAAAATTTATGCAAGCTACATTGTAACACTGATATCTGTCAGGAATCCCTGAATAACCCTTCACATGTATATATTTTTTAAAATAAGACAACCTAAGGTATTAAACTTGGGTTATTTTGACTCTTTTCATGCAACCATTTTACCACCAATCTATGTCAAATTTAAATTAAAAAAAAATTGGTGATTTTTTTTGACACACATTGCAATTTAAGAATGCATGTACTGATAATTTTAAGGGTTACTGCCAAAGAACACCCCAATATGTGTTCAGCAACATCTCCTGAGTACAGTGATACCACCCATGTATAGGTGTGTCGGGTTTTCTGGGGGCTAAAAGACCTTATTTGGAGGGTGCGCATTCCAGTTTTCCAATTATTGTCATCATGCACACATGTCCTATTTGGGATTTTTGAAGCTGGCCAATGTAATTTACCCCCATCAAACCATGTTTGTTTGTTTTTTAAAGTAGACAACCCACGGTATTCAAAATGGGGTATGTCCACTCTTTTTTAGTAGCCACTTAGTCACAAACCCAGACCAAAATTTGCGTTTATATAGTTTTTTTTGCATTTTTTACACATAAACTGCTATTTCAGAGATGATATCAGTATAATACATTTTACTGCTCTAAAACACTCATATTTCTGTAGAGTAATGTCTCATGAGTACAACAGTACCTTTCAAGTGTAGGTTTTATGGTGATTTGGAAAGTTACAGGGTCAAACATAAGATTTGCCAAATACTGGCCAGATTTAGCATTTATATTTATTTGTATGTGAAAAATGCAAAAAAAGAATATGAACGCTAACTTTAGCCAGTGTTTGTGACTACTATTAAAAACTGAACATACCCAATTTGCAATACCTTGGGTTGCCTACTTTTGCAAATGGTTTGCCATCACGGTGGTAATTCTTATTCCTGGACTACCGTACGGTCTCAAAGGTAACATAACCGATTTGGCAAATTTCAATGAAAAAAATGAAATGGGCAAGCCCTTTATTTGATCCTGTAAGTTTCAAAAACACTATAAAACCAGTACATAGGGGGTACTGTTATACTCAGGAGTAGTGATGTCTCGAACGGTTCGCCACGGACGGCGAACATATGCGCTGTTCGGTCCGCCCCCTATTCGTCATCATTGAGTAAACTTTGACCCTGTACCTCACAGTCAGCAGACACATTCCAGCCAATCAGCAGCAGACCCTCCCTCCCAGACCCTCCCGCCTCCTGGACAGCTCACTAAGAATGCAGCTTCACAATGAATGTAAACTGGATGCTGTGACTAAGTGGCTATTACAAAAGACTGGACATACTGCATTTTGAATACACTGGGTTGTCTACATTTGCAAATAGAATGCCATGATGGGGTTAATTCACATTCCTGGGCTACCACATGGTCTCAATAGGCAACATAGGCCCAGCAAACCAATCTGGCAAACTGAAATAGGCAAGCCCTGTATTGACCCTGTAACTTTCCAGAACACCATAAAACCTGTACATGGGGGGTATTGTTATAATCGGGAGACTTCGCTGAACACAAATATGAGTTTTTTAAAACAGTAAAACTTATCACGATGATGATATCACCAGTGAAAGTGCAGTTGTTGTTTAAAAAAAATGCAAAAACAAATAAAAACAATAACTTTGGCCAACGTTCGTGACTAAGTGGCTCGTGAGACATTACTCTACATATAAATATAAATGTGTTTTTTTTAATTTATGTTATAAATAAATATAAATATGTTTTTTAATTTATATTGTAAATATATATATATATAAATATGTTTTTTTAATTTATATTATAAATATATATATATATATATATATATATACATATACACACACACACACACATTTTTATTTCCTATATATGTATAATATATTCTAAAATAATTAAAGCATTTTATAATATATTATACATATATAATGCATATATATGACTTCATTATAAGTGCATTTTGAGATATATGTTTATAGTACACTTATAATGCAATCATATATGTGCATTATATATGTATAATATATTATAAAATTCTTTAATTATTGTATAATATATTATACATATATACCGGTAATATATATATAATATATTTATTTTTTACATTTTAGGTGTCAGGGGGACCCCTGCTCGCAGCTCCATAGACTCCTATTGCGGCCATGTGATCATGGTGATCACATGGCCCTGGAGGGCTGGAGAGGCAGGAGCTGCCGCAGAGGGACTTCTGGGGTTTCGGGCAGTACCCCCCGGCCAGGATCGCCGGTCCAGGTGAGTACCCGGGTCATTTTAGCCGCGGACATGCAGGGTATAACTGCCGTTATTTGTCGGACGTACCCTACAGGTCCAAGGTCGGGAAGGGGTTAAGTTACTATCATTTTTTGTAAGTGGAGTGATGTGGGATACCCTATATTAAGGCTGGGAGTTAAATTACTTTTGGTTTTTTATGCAACACTTCTTATCAAAAAGTATATATTATATAAACAAAATATATATTAAAACATTTTTCATAATATTAAATCATTTTAAAACATTTGAAAAGCTTATCCAACAACATTAAATAAAGGCCCTATGTTTCTCAAAAAGCCTTATGCAGAATCTGTGCCCCAAAGAACATTCATAAGTTTGCACACAGGACTCAGAGCTAGCACACAAAGCCTTATGCACACATAGCATTTCTGGAAGAAAGAATACCTGTCTTACTTATTTTATTAATCTACTTCCTATTTTTCAATTGTATCTACCACCATCCCCTACAGTATACTGTTTAATTGAAAACTATTATACCTTCCATGTTCAACTCTTGCTTTGTTAAATGTTTGTTTGTTTTTGTTAGTGGTTTTGCAATTATAGCCCCTTAAGGACAATTGACGGAAGTATTCCATAATGATTCCCTTTTATTTCTGAAGTTGTGTCCTTAAGGTCGTAGTCTTGTTAATTTGTGTTCAACTTTTATGACTTTTACCTATCTGATCTGTCTCGTTACCTCATTTCTTGAATCTCAAATGTTTATCCTCTTCTTTTTTCCTTGATCTTTTTTCATTCCTCAATATCTGCATGTCTCTCTACCCAGAAGTACTGTTTGATCTAACCCTAGACTCTCTCTGAGACCACACAACAATCATAAGTTTGCCTTTAGGGGACAGAGCTAGCAACCAATGCCTTATGCAGAGGTAGCATTTCTGGATGACAAATCACTTTTTCCTCAAAGCTTCTGGGACTACTAGTCTTTAGCCATCTGGCTTGCTTTCTCAATTACAACTCTCTTGACCCTCTTCAATCTGGCTTCTACCCCCTCCACTCTACAGAGACCGATCTGATTAAACTAACTAATGATCTAATCACTGCTAAATCGAAAGGCCACAATTCTATACTAATTCTTGACCTCTCTGCTGCCTTTGACATAGATGATCATGCCCTCCTCCTTCAAACTCTTCAATCTCTCAGTCTCTGTGACACTGTCCTCTCGTTATTCTACTCCTATTTCTTCCAACATTTATTCAGTGTCTCCTTTTCTACTGAAACCATTTCTTCTCCTCCTCCTGTCTCGGCTGAAGTCCCCAAGGCTCTGTTCTTGGTCCCTTTTTGCTTTCTTTTTACACTGCCTCTCTTGGCAAACATATTCATTCCTTTGGATTCCGCTACCATCTGTAGGCGGATGACACCCAGATATAACTCTCCTCCCCTGATTTCTTCCCCGCTCTCCAAGAGTCACTACGTCACTACTTGCCTTTCTTCCATCTCTGATTGGATGTCCTCCGCTTTCTGAAACGCAGTCTATCTAAAACTAAATGTCTTATTTTTCATCCTCATAATACTGAACTTCCTCTTTCACTCTCTCTGCAAGTTGATGGCACCCACATCAGTCCATCCTTGCAACCTTGTTGTCTTGGTGTTATCTTTGATTCTGGCCTCAACTTTACACCTCATATCCTGTCTGTTGCCACATCCTGCTGATTCCACCTTAAAAACATTGCCCACGTCTGTCCCTTACTTATGTAAGATGCTGCCAAGGAGCTTGTTCATGCTCTGGTAATTTCTCGCATTGATAACTGTAATTCTTTCATAATTGGCCTCCCCAGAAGCCGTACTGCACCTCAACAATTTGTAATGAATGCTGCCACCAGGCTGATTTTTCTCTCCTTTCGCTCATCTCACACCTCGCCCTCCTGTCAATCCTTAGATTGGCTTTCAGTACCCTATAGGGGTCAATCTAAAATACTAACATTTACCTATGAAACTCTAAACAACTCTAGCCCCTGTTACATTTCTTTACGACTTCATAGTACCTTCTCGGTCTCTCTCCTGTGACCTTCTCCTGTTTGCTCTTCGCACCCATACTGCTAATTCGTGCTTCCAGAACTTCTCGCGAGCGGCTCCTTTTCTTTGAAATAGTCAGCCTACCCCCATCAGACTATCCCATAATCTTCAATCATTTAGGAAGTCCCTCAAAACCCACATCTTCAGAAAAGTTTATGGCCTTCTAGAGTAACTTCTATTTCTCAAACCTGTCTCTTGCTCTCTCCTGAAGGGCCCCACTCCACTCTCACCTCCAGTTCTTCTACTTTCCCACCTTGTTGCTTAGTTTTAATCCCCTTCGATGCCCTTTATATTGTGTTTTTTATATCCCACCTCCACGAGATTGTAATCTCAATTGAGCAGGGTCCTCATCAACCTATTGTTCCTGTAATATTTTCTGATTGCTTCATTTATTGTTAAATTTCCCCATTTTCTTATATTGTAAAGTTCTGCTATTTAGATGCCAATAATAATAATAATAATTCATATGCCCATATTTATCAAGTATTATATGAAAGACTTTAGATGATAAAATGAATTCTTTAATTAAAAATTCTGTCCAATCATGATATAAAAATAATAGCAAGCTTTCCCAAATTAAGGCTAGGCCAACAAAAATTGTTATTACTTTTTTGCATCTGTTTCAGTAAAACAGCAGGAGGCTGTGCTTTACAAAGAAGTACTTTAATGTGTTTTTTAAATTTTTTAAAATGTTATTAATCAACATAACCATACGTACAGGATGAACAAAAAGAAATATTGTTCCCATCGAGATAATAAATTATTGAAAACACTAAATGACATCTGTTGTATTCTTTAACACCTTTAACTCCACAGAGATATGTCACATCAAGAATACAGAGCATCTTGTGGCACTTGACATACTCATTGCAAAAAAAACACCTCTGTTACCAGATGTCACAAGAGTGACACAATTCTGGAAATATGTGGCTTTCGTGGGTATTTACTGTGGTTTTCCAGTAAATTTGCAAACACTGATCACTCCAATTTCTCTCCCTTTCATTTGTTTGTCTTCTCCTAAAGAGCTCCATTTTGGTTCTAAAGATTGAGAATATTTAGTTGCAGCAATTTCTCCACAACCCTTGCTATAGTAAATAACCCTAATGATCAGTAACCCTTATGGCAATATAGCAAGAACTCACCTGCTGGAGGCACGACAGGCTGCCTAGTGTACGATACATTAAATGTAGGTTCCTCAACAAGCAAGGGGGGATACATTCTTCTCCTAATAAAGAATCCAGCCCCACAACAAAACAGGACTCCCATCATCAGCAGGAACCTTAGAAAAAGAGAGATAATACATATGTTGTATTGACATAGGGTTTAACAGTTTGTCTGTATCAAACATACAGGCATCACAAATGATGGAGCTACACTCACTTCTACCATTTAAACAATAGAAAAGCATCAGCTCAACCAACCTACAGAGACACGAATGGCGCTCTGGGAAGAGAACGTCAGAAGGCAATTATGGCCTTCACCTCGCTGGACACTCCGGGTACAATAATAACTTCATTTCTTAATTTAAACACCATGACAAGAAACACACACATAAGGCATTCTCATGTTGTGAACAGATTTTATTTAATTTCTGTATTATGGATTATTTGAACATCTATTACTTACTATCGAATTATGTATTCACTTGTATTCCCCCTGTTTTTTTTTGCTTAAAATATATATTATTATTTAATATTGAAACATTTTATTAATAAAGTATTTGACCCGAAAAGCATCAGCTAATGCAGTAATCTCTATGTGTTTACTCTGCTTTATAATGTAAAAGATCAAGATATCAGAGATTCCACTGCTGTCTTTCGGAGAGCCAAACCAGGGAAGATGAAATCAACAGGAGAACCTCTACTGGTGGGTTTGCAGGGTATGAAAGGTGCGTCGCTCTAAGGGGTAAATATTGGTGCCATAACCCTTCCATAGGTACGCCTCTACAGCTGGTGTCAAATAAAATAGTACAAAACTAGAAATTTTTAATTTATATCTTACAGATATATTACATTTATATGTCTTCTGTACACTAAATAAAGGGACACACTGGACTGGAGATAATTACGGTAATAGTTGACTTATCTCTTAACACAGATCACAATTTACAGGAATCTTGTGTAACCCAAGTTGCTATATTTTAAGGAATCCTTTAATGCGGTGATCCCCAACCCAGTCCTCATGGTCCACCAACAGTCCAGGTTTTGTCAGTATCTCAATTTGAATAAAAAAGGTAAATACATAAATCCTGGACAATTAGTGGCCCCTGGGGACTGGGTTGGGGAACACTGCTTTAATGTATTTGCAGTAAAAAAAAAAAAGGTAACAAGGTTGTGAGGCACAGCAGAAAGTGCAGACATTGTGAAGCAGGCTACCCTTAACCCCTTAAGGACCAAACTTCTGGAATAAAAGGGAATCATGACATGTCACACATGTCATGTGTCCTTAAGGGGTTAAAAGGGTATTTAGTGTTAGATTATAATTACTGAACTTTATAATAATAATAATCCCAGAACTATTCATGGGTCAACTAAGCTCTTTAGATAAAATCGTTTATGAATGCCCGTTTGGGCTGGATTGACATCACAAGAAGATGTAGTCAGAGTATTCTTAAATGCTGCTAACTCCACAACAACCCCTTTTGCAAAATTAAACGGAAAATGCACTTGACAAAAAAAAGTGCCTACTTAAATATGATTTAAAAAAATGCCGTTTACATACACAGACCTAGTGTCTGTGTGAGTGTATGCATCTGTGTGTATGAAGACTGTGTGCATGTGTATGTATATGTGTAAATGTCTGTTTATTTGCAACATAGTGGGTGTAGGTTTTAGTTTGTGCAATAGTGTAACAGTATGGGTACTGGTATGTGTGTTCACCTGCAAAGTTTTATGGGATGTGGCCATTTTGGCCAGGTCCTCTGGCCTCTCTGCTTGAGACCACTGTGTTTCAGGGAACCTATAGGCCCCTACATTAATAATTGTTATTTTAGGACTATAGGTTCCCCTATAGCGATGTGAGTACTGTCCACCCCCTTTGCTCAGTAAAAGCTAAGTTTAAAAAAAAGATAATTCACCTCGTTACCAGTCCCCCAACTCCTTTGCTGCAGTCTCCAGCTCATCCTCTGTTGATGTCAGCTTCCAAGTTCACGTCACTCACGATACCAATGGTTCTCATAGAGAAGCAAGGTTGAAATGACAAGACCACTGCACCCAGACCGCTTTAGTGGTCCCTTATTTTTCAGTAGGCAAGGCCATGCAATGATCAGTCTCCCTCTGACTTAACCCAGTGATCCCAGGGTCCAGCAGTTTCAGTTTCCATCTTTGCTTTCAATGGGTAGGTATCTGCGGTGCTCCTATCAGGAATGTGCAATGTGCTTGCAAGCAAGTGTCTACTCTGCCTAACGGGAAATCCGGTCCTGCCTACTAGACTCCACCAGTCAATTAAAATTGCTAAATCAATGTTCTATTTATACTGATTCAGTATTATGTAAACTTGCAATTTGATGTTGTTTGTGGAGCTGGTCTACTGGAAACGTTTCTTTAATAGAAGCATGTAGTCCAAGTTAAGCCTCAGAGGTACGTTTTATAAGAACCTACCACAAATACCATAGCCTCTGGATGGAAAGTGCTCGCACACAGCATCTTGAACCACAGCAGTCTTCATATGTTCGACATCTGTAAGTTGAAAAAACAACAACTTTGAACACACCACTTCTTAAAACTTTATACATTCCAGTCTTCTTATTTTCAAAACACCAAAGTAAAAAGCAAAAAAATATTACATACATTAGACTCGGCTAAACCAACTACCATGTAATTAAATCAAAGCCTGAAACGGCTGCTTACCCTAAATCCTTATTGAGGAAACACTAAGCAAGATCTGCAGTTCCTCCTCAGCACCAAAGTTCACGTCACTTACGATACCAATGCTTCTCATAGAACATTATTAATTGATGTGGCCATTAAAGAATTGTAAGTAATATAACTTGATGTCTTGCTCCATAAAGCATAATAAATATCATGGAACTGTATCTAATGTTATGTAACTGTATTTCATACAGTTTCATAAAAGGAAGACTCAAAGAACCATAACCACTACAGCCTGCTGGAGTGGTTATGGTGCCAGGAATGCATTGGTGCCCTTCCAGGTTAAGTAGTCAAACATTTATAAATGATTTTACAACTTACTCAGGTTCTTCTGGTGTCCAATCACCTTGTCTTCTACTGCTGAGAGTTACAGCAATGTACTAAGCCTTGCAGTGCAGGGCTTAGCTCATTGGCTGAGAGTGCAGAACACAACTCAGTGGAGCTAACAGAGGTTCTTAGCAGGAGCTTTCTGCTCCAGAAGAGGGTGGCTTGACTACTCACCCCTGTGAGGGCATGAGGGCACATTTGGCACCATAACCACTACAGCAGACTTTAGTGCTTATGATACTCGGAATGTTCCTTTAAATAAATGTATTCTACTATCTGTGTAATATTTGTTTAGGAATCATTAAATGTCTAACTAAATGTTATTTTCACACAGTTTAATCCCCATATATTCATGTGTATTAATTGGTTGTAACAGGCACATTATGTTCATCATGAAACTGCCCACAATATATTGAGTACTGTGGTGGGAGAGCAATGGAAAAAGCTGGTGAGATGGTGAGAAGAGTGTAATGTGGTGCTTTACAATATTTATTTTAGTATTTTTTACAGGAATGTGTCAGTGAGCTATCTTTAAAACAGAAGTATAGTTCGTCAGGAGACATAATTTGACCTACTGTCAGAAAAAGATAATGACACAGGGTCTAATAATATCACTAAGTCCAAATCATTCTTTTTCAAGCGGATCTGTCAGTAAAAATACACTTAATCTAATTTGCCTCTATATTACTTCCTGGGTCTGAATCTTTTTATTGTTTCCTGAGCACTCAAGAAAATGTAGGGACTACTCAAGTTGACAATAGCTGTCAAAAGCGAGAACTTAAAGAAAGGTTGTGTCTCAGTTACCAATCAAATTTACCCACAATCCATCCAATATAAATCACACAGAACGGCAAACTGTAGATGAGATAAAAAGTGCTGAATTCAGGTATTAAGATTCAACACCATAAATAAAAATAAAGGCAAGTGAGAGAATATAATCATTAATATAAAAGAGGCATAAGGAAAGGAAAGAAAAAAGTGGTCATTGAAGTGGTCTGGATGCACTGTCCCTTTAACCCTGGAGCTGAAAACATTGAGCTGCTAGAGAAACTGCAATGTTTTCATTGTAGGGTAAAAACGGTCTCTAGTGGCTTTCTTCGTTAGGTTCCCCCTCACAATGATGCCAGAGAAGGTGGAAATGGAGGCAGCTCTGGAATCAGGTATTTAAAGGGTTTTTTTAACCCTTCGATTGCCATTGGGAGGGTGGGGGGACTGACGGATACTATTGTGTTAGGAATACTAGTGTGTGTACCTTTAATGGATATTTCTGCTGGGTTTGTATTTTTTTTTTTTTTAGATAAAGCCTAATTCTTATTAAATATAGAATTTGTGTTTACAACAATAATAAAAGGCACAGCCTGCAATCACATGCCCATAAAAGTACCTATATGATTGCATTAGGTTGCCAAGTACAGTTCTGGGTTATTTATTGTCTGAAAGTCCAGGAAATGTCAGGACAGAAAAATTCTATGTCCATTAAAAAGCTTGGCATTAATCAGACAGAAATTTTTCATTTCTGTCTTACTTTATGAAAAAGGTCTACAGTTCTCAGAGCTAATAAACAAGTTAGTCCAGATTACCGCTCTTATCTCAACAGCAGCGGGAACAGAAAATAGCTCCAGGGAGCAAAGCAAGAAAAAGCATTTAGACTCATTAATGCAGAACATTTGATTCCTGGGCAGCTGGTTAAACTGTGCTGCTTATGCAATATGGTTTATTATTACCTCTTAAGCAGAAAGGCTTACATGGTAAATAAATAGAAATAAGCAGATTTATATAAGGGACAATTATTGTAATGACTACATATTACACTACATTATCATTCTTTCTAAATGCATTACACATATATAAATATATGTTATATATGTGTATCGAACAGAAGAATTTGATTTGTAAGTTTTAACACACTCCAGCCAACTGGATTTGAAATAAAAGAATTGAAGGAACACAAAAATGTATTCCTGACCCTATAGTGTTAAAAACACTATCTAGCTCTCCTGCCACCCTCCCTAAATATAGTAAAATCTTGCCTTTTTTTCCAGTCTGCTGGTGTTGGCTCTGCCCTTGATCTGCCTCCTTGGCTGACATCTCAGCCAGTCACAATGGATAAGAAAGCATTGGATTGGCGGAGATTTTTAATTACGATGATGTCAGTTAAGAAGGCGGGCCAGGGGCAGAGCCAAACACCATCCTGGTTAATGTATTATTATTATTATTATTATTATCATTTATATAGCGCCAACAGATTCCGTAGCGCTTTACAATATTTTGAGAGGGGGGATGTAACAATAAATAGGACAATTACAAGAAAACTTACAGGAACAATAGGTTGAAGAGGACCCTGCTCAAATGAGCTTACAGACTATAGGAGGTGGGGTATTTGAAACATTAGGACAAGAAATATCAAGTAGGAGTGAAGCAGAGCTGGAGGAGAGAGCAAAGCACTGTCCCATAGGAGAGAGCAGGAGACAGGTATGTAAGGTAGAGATTACTCCGGGAGGCCATAAGCTTTCCTGAAGAGATGGGTTTTAAGGCCCTTTTTAAATAATTGAAGACTAGGGGAGAGTCTGATGGCAGTAGGCAAGCTATTCCATAGGAGAGGAGCCACCCGCGAGAGGTCCTGCAAGCGCGAGTTGGCCGTACGGGTGCGAGCAGCGGTCAGGAGGTGGTCACGGGCAGAGCGGAGGGTACGAGGAGGGGCATATCTATGGATTAGTGAAGAGATATAAGTGGGGCTGGAATTGTTCAGTGCTTTAAATGTGTGGGTTAGCACTTTGAATTGACTCCTATAGCATACAGGGAGCCAATGTAAGGACTGGCAGAGGGGTGAGGTGTGGGAGGACCGACTAGAGAGGAAGATCAGTCTAGCTGCAGCATTCATGACAGACTGTAGCGGGGCAATACGGCTTTTGGGGAGACCAATCAGGAGAGGGTTACAGTAATCCATGCGGGAAATTACTAGAGCATGGACAAGCTCCTTGGTAGCATCTTGCGTAAGAAAGGGGCGAATGCGGGCTATGTTTTTGAGTTGGAACCTACAGGACTTGGCAACAAACTGGATGTGAGGCTCAAAGGTGAGACCAGAGTCAAGTATGACGCCAAGACAGCGCGCTTGCAGGGATGGACTTATGTGGATATCACTGAGTTGAAGGGAGAGCGAGAGAGGAGGATCAGTATAAGGAGGAGGAAAGACAAGGAGTTCAGTTTTAGAGAGGTTAAGTTTCAGAAAGTGTGAGGACATCCAGTCAGAGATGGAAGAAAGGCAAGCAGTGACACGTTGCAGGACGGCAGGGGAGAGGTCCGGGGAGGAGAGGTATATCTGAGTGTCATCAGCATACAGGTGGTAGTGGAATCCAAAAGAGGCAATAAGTTTACCTAGAGAGGCAGTATAAAGAGAAAATAGGAGGGGACCAAGGACAGACCCTTGGGGAACTCCAACCGAGACAGGACGAGGGGAGGAGGTATCCTTGGAAAAGGAGACACTGAATGAGCGTTGGGAGAGATAGGAGGAAAACCAAGAGAGGACAGAGTCACAGAGACCGAGCGATTGAAGAGTTTGAAGGAGGAGAGCATGATCAACGGTGTCAAAGGCAGCAGAGAGGTCAAGGAGAATTAATATAGAGTAGTGACCTTTGGATTTAGCGGAGATTAGGTCATTAGTCACTTTGATAAGAGCAGTCTCAGTAGAGTGGAGAGGGCGGAAGCCAGACTGAAGAGGGTCAAGGAGAGAGTTGGAATTAAGGAAGCGAGACACACGGGTAAAGACAAGTCTTTCCAAAAGCTTTGATGAGAAAGGGAGCAGGGATATGGGACGATAGTTAGAAGGGGAGGATGGGTCAAGAGATGTTTTTTTCAGGATAGGTATTACAGTGGCATGTTTAAGGTCAGCAGGAACAGTGCCAGAAGAGAGAGAGCAGTTAAAGATGTGTGTTAGGGTAGGCACAAGACAAGGGGAGAGAGATCTGATGAGGTGAGATGGGACAGGATCGAGCGGGCAAGTGGTGGGGCGAGAGGAATGGAGAAGTGCAGCCACCTCTTGTTCAGTAGCCGGGTAGAAAGTCTGGAGGGTAGGGAAAGCAAGATTTACATGTGGTTGAGAAAGAGAACGGCAAGGAGGGGAGAATTGTTTCCTTAGCTGTTCAATCTTGTCGGTAAAGTAGCATGCAAAGCTATCAGCTGTAAGGTTAGTTTGGGGGGTGGCCACAGCAGGGCGGAGAAGGGAATTAAAGGTGTCAAAGAGACGTCTGGGATTGCGGGAGCATGAACTAATGAGAGAGGAAAAGTATGACTGTTTGGCGAGGGCGAGGGCTGCGCTGTATGAAAGCAACATGAATCTATAATGGAGAAAGTCTGCCTGGGTGCGGGACTTCCTCCAGAAGCGTTCAGCACAACGGGAGCAACTCTGCAGATAGCGTATTGATTTATTATGCCAAGGTTGGGGACGTGTCCTCCTCGAGGTGCATGTTTTGAGAGGGGCTGCAGCGTTCAAGGCAGATGTATTGAATCAATGCCTCTCTATGAGGAAAGTTCAGCGTCTCCACACTGAATTTCAGTCTCTAGTAGCCATCTGAGGAATGGCCACTGGAGGAATCCCTAGTCCCTTTTCTCTAAAAACATAGTGTTTACTGCAAAAAGCCTGCAGGGACTGACTACTCACCAAAACAACTATATTAAGCTATAGTTGTTCTTGTGGCTATAGTGTCCATTTAAAGGGCTACTCAGACCATCATAAACACTATAGTCAACTGTAGTGGTTTACGATGGTAGGAGTGCCCTAGCACTGTTCCCTGGAATTGGGGTTAACCATTTTACAATGGTTTGCCCTCTTATCTAGTCCTTCCAGACATAAATTGGCTATTGGTTATGGTGTCAGGAGCTCCCCGGCAATATGTAAGTAACTAAAGCAAGTTCCCTCTAAGGCGTTGATAGTGGAAGTTAATAGTGCTCTGTAAATTGAACTTTAATTACATACGGGAGGTTCATGCAAGGCCTAGCAAGCTATTAACAGAGCAGGAGATATGAAATCTGTAATTAAACAGAATAGACATTTATTTGCAATAAAGAAAGTGTAAACATTCGATGATTATTTACAGGAAGTGTTAAGGAACGCTGTTCAAGTCACATGCAGGGAGGTGTGACTAGGGTACATAAACCAAGTGATTTAACTACTAAATGGCAATGAAATAAGCAGTGTGACTGCAGGGACATGATCTATACACCACAACTGCTTAATTTAGTTTACGTTTTTTTGATGCCTATAGTGTCCCTTTAATATTTCATACATATATATTTAGAGTTTAAATAGCTTTAAACATTTAATGTAAATCTTTTGATAATGAAAAGACTATGTATGACTCCAATATAAAACACAATCCAAAGGTGTTTCAAAATAGACAGTTTGTATGTTTAATCATTTCCAATTTAGCAATTTACTAATGGATGACAAAGACATATCAGCATCTTGTTTACTTGCAATGTGTTGTCAAGGAATTGACAAGTAAAATAAACAGCATTTTGTTTAACTAGCCATGAATTGCCAGAGGAAGTATCCACGCACTATGTCCCTCAAAGTGCAGTAAGTACCATACCCACAGGCAAGGAAAATAAACATTATCTATTGAGGTTTGCTTTTCTTCCCATCCATTTGCTATGCTTCATAAATGTCATGATAATCCCCAGGTCTGGATTTGATTTAAAAGGATTTAAAAGGATACTCCACTGCTCAAACACAAATGGTTTTTTTTTTTAAATGTAAAAATTAATGGATAAAGCGCCCGTGAGTCGCGATACCACCCCCCATGCCCTAACTCCCGAGACCCACAACCTATACCCAACCCCATGCCCTGTCCCGGACAGCCATAAAGCAGGACACAGACAGAAAGGACACACAAGGACTCGAGGATCGACAAAGCACACCAATAAGGAACAAGTGTTCAGTAGAAAACTCATGTAAACGCTTCACAAGGTCACAATACCGACATAAGTGAAAGCTACATCAAATGCGAAAGTGTACACAGTTGGTACTAAACCTTGTTAAAATTCATTGTACTGACCTACTCCTACCCACCTCCCAATTTTCTTCTTCTGTACCCTCTTACCACTTTCAACTGACTTCATGTAAAAACTTACAAATAAAGAATAAAAAAATAAAAAAAAGTTATTGTGGGCTAATATTCTTACCAGACTCAGCCAAGCAGACACAGACACTACATCCCCTACATACACACACACAACTGACAATATTGCATACTGATTGGTGCAGCATGTTTAAAGGAGAAAATACGGTAATGCCTCTGTGGGAATGGGGGGTGATTTGAGACATCAAAAAAAAAATTACTCAACATTCGGCTGCATGAATTATTATATCTCCAGAACCGATCAATAGCATTATTTACTCATAATACACAATTCACTGTTACGTATCCTATATATATTGCATCCCACATATGTGACCTTTTAAATAAAATAATTGAAAAAAAGAAATTTATATTAAAAAGAAAAAACAATTAAAATCAGCAATGGCCTTTTGGTTCACTATTTACTCTACAAAATTAATTTGCGATTGTGAATAACTAGGGCACCTTGAAATATAAAAAAGTCATCAGAATTGACCTACCTCCTACCATGTAAGTGTGACATTTTACTTCAATAGTGGCACAGGGAACAAGACTCTAATTGTATTACAAATTACCAGCAGGCTTTCTTCTATACTTTAGACGGCAGCTCGATTTTTCTAATACTTTTTTAACACACACGGCAAACTCAGTCTGAGATTTTATAACTCAGTCATTGATCTAAATTAGCAACCCCCACCTCCTCCGCACATAGACTTAATTGACATATTGGGCAGCAGTGAGTCATCTCAATGCTCCATCTCGGCTGGAGAATTCCTCTTTTATAACAGCAGCTAATTGATTGGGTTATTTTTTGGTTTTCTCTTTGTGAGAACAAATAAATGCTCTAATTTAATGAACATTTAAATCTTATGTGTTCTTATGTGGAGATCAGCACGTATTTTCTATATGACTGTTAAAAATTGTGACTGACTCGGCTCTAAGTTTACACCAGAGTCGCCTGCGTCACTGGTCATGTTTTTGTGTAAATTTTTTGTTTGGTGCTTTCAAGTTTTGATGTTAAGCACCCCTTTTCCTTAGTTCCTAACAAATGATACTGGATGCCACACTTTGCTAAAAATGTTTGGTCTATGTTACTTGCATTATTTTGAAGTTGTAGGTCTGGTAACAGCAGTATGAGACAACCTGGCCGGTGCCTGTATTGCAATAATACCGGCAATACAAATACCGATATTTTTCTCAGTATAAACTGGGACTAGACTGCAATACCGCCGCTGGCCAGTAGGTATGTGTGTGGAGAGAGGCAGTGAAGTATAGTATAGAATAGAAAGTTACAACATATCCCACTGACCCGAGGGGGAGCAGTTCTGCCCAGAGAGTCCAACCTGCAGCTCAGGTAAGTGAAGGATGTGGAGAATAATTGGGAGGACAGGCTGAAGAAGATATGGGGACACAGACACATGGGGTCGCTGAGACACAAGGGGACACTGGGAGACACATGGGGACTAGGGTTGCAACCTTTCTTGGAAAAAAATATTGGCCATACTTATTTTCATAATTAATTATTATTAAATCACCAAAAAACTTCTTGCAGTTTGATTCTGCTGTATAGAGTGATAGCTCCCACTGTTTCCCTGTCTCACATCGCAGTGTCTCCATGTCTCCCAGTGTCCCCATGTCTCCCAGTGTACCGATGTGTCTGTTTCCCCCAGTGTCCCCATGTCTTCCAGTATCCCCCAGTGTCCCTATGTGTGTGTGCCCATGTCTCCCCTAGTGTCTCAATGTCCCCTGGTGTACCCATGGCCCCTAGTGTCCCCATGTCTCTTAATGTCCCCATGTCTCCTAGTGTCTCAGCATCCCCATGTCTCCCAGTGTTACAATGTCTCTGTGTCTCCCAGGATCCCCCAGTGTCCCCCAGACTGATTCCTCATCTGCAACTGTCACTAGTCTAATACTATCCTGACCTTTTTGTGTAATTTTACCCCAATCCTTCTAGCATGTAAGCTCATTGAGCAGGGCCCTCAACCCCTCTGTTCCTGTGTGTCCAACTTGTCTGGTTATACCTACATGTCTGTTCGTCCACCCATTGTAAAGCGCTGCGGAATTTGATGGTGCTATATAAATATCATAATAATAATAATGTCTCTGTGTCTCCCAGGATCCCCCAGTGTCCCCATGTCTCCCCTAGTGTCACAGTTCCCCTCTAGCGTCCCCATGTCTTACAGTGTCCCTTAGTGTTTCAATGTCTCCATGTCTCTGTGTCCCCTCATGTCCCCATGTCTCAGTGTTCCCATGTCTCTCCTAGTGTCCCCATGTCTCTCCTAGTGTCTCAGTGCCCCCTAGCGTCCCCATGTCTTCCAGTGTCCCCTAGTCTCATGTCTCTGTGTCCCCTCTTGTCCCCATGTCTCTGTGTCCCCATGTCTCTCAGGAACCTCCAGTGTCCCCATGTTCCCAGGATTCCCCAGTGTCCCCATGTCTATGTGTCCCCCATGATTCCCCTGTGTCCCCATGTCTCCCGGGATCCTCCTGTGTCCCCATGTCCCCCAGGATCCCCTTGTGTCCCTATGTCTCTTTGTCTCCCCCAGTGTCCATGTGTCTCTGTGTGCCCCCTGTGTTGCTTGTTACAGAATGTCCCATCCCTCACTGCTTCCCCCATTCCTCACTTACCTGAGCTGCTGGCTGGACTCTCTGTGCAGAGCTGCTCCCCAGCAGATCAGTGAGTAGAGAGAGGCAGGGAGGGATATGCTGTGACTTCCTATCCTTGTCTCTCTCCACACACTACTTTAAGCTTCTTTAAACTGTACAAAGTCTGAAGAAACATCTGTACAGCAATTTAGCTTTTTTTGCCCTTAGATTCTAGTTTGTAGAGTAAAGTCGGGTAGGCAACCTTCGGCACTCCAGATGGTTTGGACTACATTTCCCTTGATGCTTTGCCAGCATTATGGATGTAAAAACATTATTGGAGATGTAGTCCAAAACATCTGGAGTGCCAAAGGTTGCCTACACCTATGTTAATATTCAACACACATTGTTACTTTGTGACTACCTACTGCTAAAAAGTGGAGAAAACAACAAACAAAACTATGAGCTAGATAGTTTTGTTTGTTGTTTTCTACACTTTTTAGCACTAGGTAGCACTTATGCACAAATGTTGTTAAGCTAATTTTATTTTACCTTTAGTACAGGAAGGGAGAGAGGTTCAGGTAGGCACCAGTGATTTACTCACAGTGCCGAGGTACCATAGGGATAGTTTCTATGTTTAGAGACTTGGAGCGACAAATGGGTTTATTTTTTTGGGGGGAATCACTCCTTACTCCTAGCCTCTATACCCTAACCTCTTATTGTACCCGGACACTAGCACTATACTAAGCATTGCAAAAGCAGTATACTCGCCCAGTATTTAGACAAGCTGAACTGGGGCTGTATGAGGGACCCTCTAGCTAACTGCATCCGGACATTAGCTATTGGATCAATTGCACTTGGATGTATAGGGGATCATTTTCTGGGGAACTTTTGTTATCTTCTCTAGCCTCTACACATTACCCTTAACTTTTAATTGGGCATAATATTGGTTTAGCATCATAATAGCCGCATACTTATTTGGTGCCTTTTTGGATAGGTAGGGCGGTGTATTGGCTTATACTTTTCCAATTCCCTATACTTTTTGATATAGTTTTCTAGTTTCCTTTTTTAGCCTGGTTTATTCGTTACCTTATTAAAAAAAAATGTATTGTTTATTTTTGATGTGCATAACATAACTATGGAGCTTGTGACAAAAAGCTGTCTACTATCATTTTAGGAGAAATATATTAAATTTTTTTACTCCTTTTTTGCTTTATGATATTTAGCTTGGTTGATTGTTTACCTTATTTTATTGGAATTTCCTATTGTATCTTTACGTGAATAATAGAAATGTCTGGTATATTTTTCTTTATCAATTAAATGGTTATGATACCTTTGTATAATCTCTTTTCCCTTAGATGGTTTATATACATAATTGTTTTGAAATTGTTTGGCAAATGTTATTATATATAATTTTAAGTTCATATATCTTTAGTATTACATTATATTGATTTGTATGGGACTATTAACTCTCATTGCGGCAGATTGACATACATTGCTGCTATATAAAACTCAAAAGGTTGTCTGGACTTGAACCACGCTTGAGCAAGCTCAGAGAGGTGGAACGAAACATCATCAATTCGAATGTCATTATGTCACAATGCAGAGCACCATCATTGCTGGCCCAGGAAGTAGGAGCTCCTTGCATTGAGGAGAGTGATACTCATAGTGAGACAATAGAGGAATATAGGAGGCTGAATGAAGACCTGTCTGCACCTCCAACTGTCCCAGAGACCTGGATGCATATTCAGGAGTGAATTTTAAAGGTTCTTATTGTTCCAATAAGGATTTAAAGTGAAGACTTTGGCTGTGGGTGAGTCCTTACTGATTGGAAAACTGGATCCCACAGACACGAGAGGCTGATACACCACGTGCTGTATAGTGTTGAGTGGCACTCTATCCACTCTCATTTTGTGATTTCTAGTCTAGTCTTGCAGATAGTTATTTTAGTTAACATTACTTCAACAATATTGCACTAGGTTTGTTCCTTGTGTTTCTCTTCCTAGATCTTCTTGACTCTTATTAGGATTCCAGTGTAATACTTGCACTGTATATTGCACCGCGCCACCTTACTCTTTATTTGTATTTGTTTGTTCAAGCTAGACTGAACCCTTTCTAAAGGGATCCAAAATTACTAGAAAACAAGCAAATACTGGGTGAGCCAAGATACTTTTGTTAGAAGAAAAGCTTCTTTATTCAGAATTTCTTTTTGAAATGCATGGATTCTATCTGCACGAATGTGAGGTCTGGTGCCATATTTTATGATCACTAACATTTAGTTCATGCCAAATGTATTTATTTTTTTCCTATAGAGGGTTGTCCAATTAATATAAAACAAGCCAAATCTGAGCAAACCAAGATGGTTTTCATAGAGAATATGTTTGGTACCTTATTCAGAATTTACAACTAAAAAAACATGGATGTTAGGTTGCTAGATCTATTGACATAGTTTATGATCAATTTCATTTCGCTCAGGTGAGATTTAACTTTTTTCTGTAGAAAGATGCTCAATAAGTAAAAACAAGTCAAATTCAAGCAAGATGGTTTTCATAGAGGAAATGCTTGGCTCTTCAGTCTGAATTTCCTATTGAAATACATGAAATTTTGAGGTTTGGTGCAATATTTTATGATCACTTCTATCATTTGGCTCAGTCCAATTGAAGTTTTTCATATAGAGCAGAGGTTCCCAAACTTTTTAGGTTCAAGGCACCCTTACTATTGCAATATTTTTCCAAGGCACCCCAGGTCAAAACAATATTCTAGGTTGTATATATGTACAGCGCTGCGGCATATCCTAGGCCCATAATCTTGGGAGTGGCACTAGTAGATTATTTAAAGAAACAATGCAGGCACAATAACCACTACATTACGTTGCTCTCCCAAGGTGTGTGTGAGGGGTGCAGTGTGCGTGTGTGTAAAGGGGTGCAGTGTGCGTGTGTGTGTACAGGAGTGCAGTGTACGTGTGAGGGATGCAGTGTGTGTACAGGGGTGCATTGTGTTTGTAAAGGATGTAGTTTGTGTATGTGCATGAGGGGTTCAGTGTGTGTTGTGGGGGGGTAGGTTGTGTTAGGGGTACAGTGTGTGCGTGGGGAGGTGCAATGTGTGTAAGGGGTACAGTGTGTGTGAGGGGGCAGGTTGTGTGAGGGGTACAGTGTGTGTGTGTGGGGGGGTGCAATGTGTGTGTGGTCCTGCAGAGCCGGCAGATCCGGCAGGAGGGAGCATAGTTCCCGGTGCTATCATCATAGCACCGGGAAAATAACTTGCGGCACTCCTGTGTGCTGTCGCGGCGCCCCAGGGCTCTGCGGCACACCGTTTGGGAACCGCTGCTATAGAGGGATGACCAATTATCATGAAACAAGACAAATTTGGATGAGGCAACAAGTGCTTGGATCATTATTTAGCATTTGCCATTTAAATCCATGTATGCTAGGGCACCATGTTTGGTGCCATATTTTATACTTAACATAATTTGGCTCTGGCCAGATTTAACTTTTTTCTATATCTGAATGTCTTGTTAGTAGAAAACTGATTTGTGAGCAAGAGCCTCCATTCTCTGTATTGTACCCTTCATTTTTAAATGTAAAGTATATTGAGAGAAGCAAATGTATTTGTGTAATGACCTTCAAATTACAGTGTAAGGTCCAATGAAGGCCAAAATAATCATCTGAAGATGCTGTATCTCTGAGATGCAAGGGGAAAAATGACCCCTTGTGGGTGAGATAAGTCTGATAAATGACTGGTTAAGGTTCATTCTGTATTCTGTTTTTTGTTTAATTTGGAGTATTTATAAGTATAGCACAAGTAAGCTAAAACTTGTATGGGACCTGAGTGGTGACCCACCTAGGGGCAAGCTACTTGAGTTTTGGTAAGATAGTAAACGACTTACAAAATTCAGTCCAAAATAGTCAAGTAAGAATAAAAATCTCCAGTCCAGCAGGATTACAACCTTTTTCAAGCTTTGCTACTTTGGCCTGTGGAATTTTCTGTCTTCAGAAGCAAATTGATTCAAGTGATTATTCAGTGAAATTGTAGTCACAGGTTGATTCCCTGGTGTTGTAAATTCAAATTTGCAAGATACTTTTCAATCCTTAAGACTCTCAAAGTATGATGTATGTTGTAATTCTATTGTCCGCCCTGTTGTACAGCATATGGTTCAGAGAAGCTGTACAGCATTGGACACACAGAGGCACTAAAATTATATTCTAATTAATTACTTCACAACCTTAGGATGTGTCATTATATCCTAACTAAACTGGGCTTTTATGCCATTAAGACAAATTGACATGTCCTAATGTTTTGTTGTGTGCAGGATTAAATCCCTGCTCACACCAGGGAATCCCAGATATCAAAGCTCCCAATTATAGGTTCCCTTTAACAGTTAAAAGGAGAGCACCAATATTCTTTGTTACACTCTATAGCTAGAAACAAGTTTTTTTTGGTTGCAGATAATAAGCATTCACTAAAATACTAAGGAAAATCATTTAAAAACGATTGGGTTAGGGGTAAGTTTAGGGGTAAGGGGTAGAGTTAGGGAATTCCCGAATTGGCAAAGTCCAGAATTTCGGAAGTGCTGAACCGAACCGAAGTGCCAAATTCCCGAATTTCGGAAGTGCTGAACCGAACCAAATATTTTGCCCATACACATCCCTAAAATAAAATAGTTTACTTACATGTAATATGTAGGGTACAATCCTTCAAAGTACCAGCAGTGTTTTTTGGCCTCCGTGGACTGAAAAACATAAAATACATAGAGTTATTTAAATATCACAGATTACAATTTTGATGTAATGATTTCCAGAAGGTATACTCTTAGGTCTGGAAATATTTGGACACTAACACAAGTTTTGTTATTTTGACTAGTTACAGTTAAATAATGAATATGGGTGCAGTCTTTCAGCTTTAAATTGAGGATATTCACATCCAAATTGGAGGAGGGGTTCAGGAATTACATCACTTTAATATGTAGCACCCTCTTTTTCATGGGACCAGAAATAATTGGACAATTGACTCAAACACTGTTTCATAGACAGGTGCATTTGGAAGCTATTGCTGTGAACCCAATACTCTCAATGCACGCGAAACAGGCCAACCGTAGGCTGCAAATAAATAAAACCAATTAGAGAGATGTCAATATTAGGAGTGGCAAATCAACAGTCTGGTACATTTTGAGAGAAAAAAAGAACACACTGATGAGCTCTGCAACACTAAAAGACCTTGACATTCACGAAAAACAACAGTGTTGGATGGTTGTAGGATCTTTTCCATGGTAAAGAAAAACCCATTCACAACATGCAGCCAAGTGAAGAATGCTCTCCAGGTGGTAGGCATATCATTATCCAAGTCTACCATAGAGAGAGGATTTCAAGAGCAAATACAGAGGATTTACCACAAGGTGCAAACCATTCATATGTGTTAAGAATAGAAAGGCCAGATTAGACTTCCCAAAAACAATTCTTAAAAAGCCAGCCTAGTTCTGGAACAGCATTCTTTGGACAGCTGGAACTAAGATTAACATGTACCAGAATGATGGGAATAAAAAGTATGAAGAAGGCATGGTACAACTCAAGATCCGAAGCATACCACATCACCTGTAAAACATAGTGGGGGCAGTGTGATGGCATGGGTATGCATGGCTTCCAGTGGCACTGGGTCACTAGTGTTTATTGATGATATGACAGAAGACAGGAGCAGCCAGATGACATTTGAAGTTTCTAGGGATATATTGTCTGCTCAGATTCAGCCAAATTCAGTGAAGTTGATTGCATGGCGCTTCACTTCACAGATAGACAAGGACCAAAAACATACTGCGAAAGCAACCCAGAAGTTTTTTTTAAGGAAAAGAAATAGGATATTCTGGAATAGCTGAGTCAATCCCTTATCTCAACCCTATCAGGCATGCATTTTATATGATGAAGACAAAACATAAGGCAGAATGACCCACAAACAAACAACTGAAGACAGCTGCAGTAAAGGCCTGGTACACCATCACAAAGGAGGAAACCCATTGTTTGGTGATGTCCATGCATTCCAGACTTCAAAACTTCAAGCTGAAAGTCTGCACTTCAATTGCATCTTTGTGGTTTCTTTTCAAATCCAGTGTGTTGGCATACAGAGCCAAAATTATGAAAATTGTGTCAGTGTCCAAATATTTCCAGACCCTACTGTATATAGTATATATTTATCCTGCAGGGCTTTCTGTGGTCTTTATTTAAACAGTTTAAAAGCATTGGTCTTGTTGATAATTACAGCCAATTTGGCTTGTCTGTAGCAGGATTGCTCCTTCCCACCCAAGTAAAAATAAAATATATATTTTGCTTACTGAAATCATATTTTAGAGGTTCATTTGTAAATCAGTTTGTTATAGAGAGTTGTAAAGACGTGACAGTGAAAATGCAAAATGTAAAAGGCCAAAACAGCCATATTGAAATAATCTACAACTAGTGTGAGACCTTGAGAAAAGGAGACCCGGTGGGTCAAGGAAATAGGAAGTCCCTTAATTAAACTCTGTATATATAAAACACAGCTTTTAATGATTTCTATAATAAAATACTCATGCTAATAGAAAAAAGACAAGGAAAACAGAACAACATTTAAAAATGGGTTGGATAGGTTAAGGTAAAAATCAATTGTATCTCCTGAGTGGGATATATACCCCAATAATATAATCTCTTAAATAGATCCAATAGTATCTTAGAAGAGAAGGGGGTCCCAATACAGTACTCGTACCGTAGCTTTAAATAATCACAGTCGTAGCAATCTATTGTGGGGCTCCCATCTATAGTTGTGGATAACTACAGGGAGTGCAGAATTATTATGCAAGTTGTATTTTTGAGGATTAATTTTATTATTGAACAACAACCATGTTCTCAATGAACCCAAAAAACTCATTAATATCAAAGCTGAATATTTTTGGAAGTAGTTTTAGTTTGTTTTTAGTTTTAGCTATGTTAGGGGGATATCTGTGTGTGCAGGTGACTATTACTGTGCATAATTATTAGGCAACTTAACAAAAAACAAATATATACCCATTTCAATTATTTATTATTACCAGTGAAACCAATATAACATCTCAACATTCACAAATATACATTTCTGACATTCAAAAACAAAACAAAAACAAATCAGTGACCAATATAGCCACCTTTCTTTGCAAGGACACTCAAAAGCCTGCCATCCATGGATTCTGTCAGTGTTTTGATCTGTTCACCATCAACATTGCGTGCAGCAGCAACCACAGCCTCCCAGACACTGTTCAGAGAGGTGTACTGTTTTCCCTCCTTGTAAATCTCACATTTGATGATGGACCACAGGTTCTCAATGGGGTTCAGATCAGGTGAACAAGGAGGCCATGTCATTAGATTTTCTTCTTTATACCCTTTCTTGCCAGCCACGCTGTGGAGTACTTGGACGCGTGTGATGGAGCATTGTCCTGCATGAAAATCATGTTTTTCTTGAAGGATGCAGACTTCTTCCTGTACCACTGCTTGAAGAAGGTGTCTTCCAGGAACTGGCAGTAGGACTGGGAGTTGAGCTTGACTCATCCTCAACCCGAAAAGGCCCCACAAGCTCATCTTTGATGATACCAGCCCAAACCAGTACTCCACCTCCACCTTGCTGGCATCTGAGTCGGACTGGAGCTCTCTGCCCTTTACCAATCCAGCCACGGGCCCATCCATCTGGCCCATCAAGACTCACTCTCATTTCATCAGTCCATAAAACCTTAGAAAAATCAGTCTTGAGATATTTCTTGGCCCAGTCTTGACGTTTCAGCTTGTGTGTCTTGTTCAGTGGTGGTCGTCTTTCAGCCTTTCTTACCTTGGCCATGTCTCTGAGTATTGCACACCTTGTGCTTTTGGGCACTCCAGTGATGTTGCAGCTCTGAAATATGGCCAAACTGGTGGCAAGTGGCATCGTGGCAGCTGCACGCTTGACTTTTCTCAGTTCATGGGCAGTTATTTTGCGCCTTGGTTTTTCCACATGCTTCTTGCGACCCTGTTGACTATTTTGAATGAAACGCTTGATTGTTCGATGATCACGCTTCAGAAGCTTTGCAATTTTAAGAGTGCTGCATCCCTCTGCAAGATATCTCACTATTTTTGACTTTTCTGAGCCTGTCAAGTCCTTCTTTTGACCCATTTTGCCAAAGGAAAGGAAGTTGCCTAATAATTATGCACACCTGATATAGGGTGTTGATGTCATTAGACCACACCCCTTCTCATTACAGAGATGCACATCACCTAATATGCTTAATTGGTAGTAGGCTTTCGAGCCTATACAGCTTGGAGTAAGACAACATGCATAAAGAGGATGATGTGATCAAAATACTCATTTGCCTAATAATTCTGCACTCCCTGTAATAACCCTCACAAGGAGCCTCTAATCATCACTTAGAGAGCCCTATAAGGCTGAGGTTACCAAATAACGCTACACATCAAGGAGGGAAGCTGATACACAATCAAAAAAGCAAGGTCTGCTACTTAGTAGATAAACAGTACTACTCAGCTAGTATACAGTTAATGGTGGAGTGATACAATGTATCCAATGCCTCTATTAGCATAGGCTGCAATGCCCATAAGACCCTATATACTTCATTATGAAGCACCAGGTCAAGGGGGCACTAGAAAGTGCGACTGCCCTACTTGGGCACGCAGTGGGGAATACGAGATGAGGTTTCCCCCTCTAATAGATCAGAGGTAACAAATGCCCAAAACAAGTGATAAATACCCCTGATCACCCACAACCCTCAGTAAGGTAGCAAAGTTTGAACGGCTGAAACATAGACTTCTATCTAACTAGCTGTCATAAGCTGAAACGGCTGGAGCACCGACACCTATCTAACCTAACTGCCTGTTGCCTGACACGTGTTTCGGCGCTACTGAACGTGCCTTCTTCTGAGGCCAATTATGCTAACAGAGGCATTGGATACATTGTATCACTCCACCATATATATATATCCCACTCAAGAGATACAATTGATTTTTTTCCTTAACCTATCCAACCCATTTTTTTTATTTTGTTCTGTTTTCCTTGTCTTTTTTCTATTAGCATGAGTATTTTATTATAGAAATCATTAAAAGCTATGTTTTATATTTACAGAGTTTAATTAAGGAACTTCCTATTTCCTTGACCCACCGGGTCTCCTTTTCTCTTTGTACACACATATGTGAGGGTTACCCACTTTATGGTTGCCCCTGACACACATTTAGCTGGTTCCCTTAGAGGCTTCTAGCTCTCTATTTTTCAATAGTGTTAGACCTTGACACTCCTCTGTTGTCTTCTGCCCTCGATTTCTTGTTGTCACAGAATGGTATCTGCGTTGTATCGCTGCCTCTTGGGTGTGTTATTGAAGATCAGCGGCGTACATACTGCGGTCGCAGGGGTCGCAGCTGCGACCAGGTGCCCGCTGCCATGTGTTGCAGCCCTGGCCGTGCAGGATAATTGACGGGCCGCAGATGAATGGGTCCATCGTATGTATTTGTGTGTATGTGTTTCTGTATGTATGTGTTTGTGTGTTTGTATGTGTGTGTGTGTGTGTGTCTATGTATGTGTCTGTATTTATCTGTGTGTGTGTATGTTTCTGTGTGTGTGTATGTGTGTCTCTGTATGTATGTGTATGTGTGTGTGTCTGTATGTATGTGTGTGTCTCTGTGTGTGTGTCTGTATGTATGTGTGTCTCTCTATGTGTGTGTCTATGTATGTGTCTGTATGTGTCTCTCTGTGTGTCTGTATGTATGTGTATGTGTGTCTGTATGTGTCTGTGTCTGTATGTATGTGTCTGTGTATGTGTCTATGTATTTGTCTGTGTGTGTCTGTATGTCTGTGTGTGTGTCTATGTATGTGTCTGTATGTATGTATGTGTATCTCTGTGTGTGTCTGTACAGGGTGGCGGTGGGAGGTGGTGGTGGTGGCGGCAGTGGAGGCTTGGAGGGGCCCCATGGATCAGTTTTCCACCGGGGCCCCATGTAGTATAGTGAAACACTATAAATGGATATATCAGCAAACACATCTTGTCCAGTCAATGTTGTCTCGAGTTGCATATAATAGTAGTAGTTACTTTTATTTATACTTGGTCCTAATACTACTGGCCTGCCGATTTACTTATTGCATACCTGACAACTTCCAGGATGGCCGTAATAAGGAGTAGCTGACCTATATACATATCATTGTTAGTTCTTTCCTGTCCTTCTTGTAGTGAGTAGTAAAATGTCCCCAAAACTAGCATGGGTGAATCCAACCAAAAACTTATTGAGCAGTAACTCCATCAAAGTTATGTTGTCATTTGTCCTCACCTTAGCTAAGAAGACACAAACACACACCAGACTGATCACACAGTTCCTCGCTATTAACCTTGCCTCTATCACCTCAACTGTAAGCGCTTTTAACAAGAAACTCCCACTAGATGCTAATTACACACTACACACTGGGTAGCATTATGATCTGCATCCACAACAAAGAAAAAATTAATTTTTGTTGTTCTACATGCTATTTCTGTGCACAGACAATAAACTGGGCGATTATGAGAATCAAATTAATTTGCTGTGACTAAGATGGTTTTTAATATCAACAGGTTACCATGGAACCTGTCACCATTGTGTTCATTCTGATACTGTAACTTCTTATTAGAGCAAGGTTTTCATTTAATGACTTCTTAAGAAAGGCATGCAAAACCATTGCATTAAACATTTTCCTTCATCAGTAGTCTTCCAAACAATTGTCTTTGTGTTGTGCAATTTCTTTTTAAAATGCCATTCAAGACATATATATAATCATATATGCCTCTTGTATCTGTCAACATTATTTTTGTCCATCAATCACTTTTTATCTTACAGTATTATTGTAAAGTGTATATAAATGCTATATAACACTAAATGCTATTTAAAAGATAATTAACTTATACTATGCAATTTATCCTCACTCTCCCTGATTTTGTGAAAGTTGCAAAGTAATTTAGTTTTAAGGTATGGTTGTTATGGTTTTGTTGTCCACAGAATACCATACCTCCCAACAAATAAAATGGACAATGATGGTTACTTTAATTTTAGGTGTATGAGTGATGGTTTGACAAGGGATGGGACAGTTCTGACAAATTTTAGTTGATTTACGAATAACAATTTATGTAACAAAAAAATGTAATTTAAAAGAACAATTTATCAGATTTACACAGACTGATTTCTAAACACATTAATGGTAGTTTATTGTTGTGGCACTCTAGCGTAAATTTGGGTTCCTACAAAAGAGACAGATGGATTTGCATAGGTGCCAACAATCCTGAACTTGCTAAGTCAGTCCTGCATTTTGGGGTACTGCCTCAGTAAACATAGGTCCTGTAAACCTGTCTTGCTTTTGATATATGCCAGTAGAATTTAAAATGCAGGTGGGACTGGGCAATAGGACCATGCAGGGCCTAAGAGCACAGTGGGCTGACAATTATGATGGGCCTAATTACGGAATCTTATCGACCAAAAAACTAAAACAGTCATACCTCCCAAGGGTCATGTATGTATGTCTGATGGTGATGGTGCTGGAGGGAAACTCATAGGATGCAGCTATAAGAAAACACATACTCTATGCTAATCTCTCTCTAATTTATGCTTTCATCTTTCAAGTTAATCCATAACCCCTAACAGCAGTGTCCAGTGAAGCAGGAAGTCAATGGGCAGGGTAAAAAGGTGTGCCACTGGTGCGAATCACGTGACCAGACCTGCCAAAAGGGGGGCATGTATGTCCAAAGAATATGAAGGACAGCCTGGCATGACTGCATGTCAGGCTGCCCGCCAATCATGCAGGCTGTCCAACTAAGGGCATACTATGACATAAATGCGTCTAATGATGCGCTCACTCCATGCTTTCTAAGGACTGTCCCCTTGCACTCGCTGGTCCACTTGTCTCCTTACCTTCTTACTAGCAGGCAGAAGCTCCTTGTATATAGTCTGAGACAGAGAAAACATGTATGTAGTGAGTGTAGAAGAAAGGGGGATATGCCACAGTGTTAGAGAGACCAACGTCTGCATTACCTAAACTAATTTTATTGTCAACCAGTCCACACAAGTTTTGTTCCCATACATCCCTCTTAAGCTTCCAAACTTAAAGGGACACTATAGTCACTAGAACAACTACAGCTTATTGTATTTGTTCTGGTAAGTAGAATCATTCCATTCAGGCCTTTTGCAGTAAACACTGTCTTTTCAGAGAAAATAACTCCACTGGCCGCTCCTTAGATGGCTGCTAGAGGTGCTTCCTGGGGCAGTACTGCCTAGTGTGCAGCACTGCCATTCAGTGTCTCCACCCTCTGCATGCAGACACTGAACTTTCCTCATAGAGATGCATTGATTCAATTTATCTTTATGAGGAGATGCTGATTGAACAGGGCTATGTTGGACTTGTGCTGGCTCTGCCCCTGATCTGCCTAGTTGACAGTCTCAGCCAATCCTATGGGGAAGTATTGTAATTTGCTCAGACCACCACTTCTGATGATGTCAGCAGACAGTCAGTTCAGAGGCAGAGCCAGCAGCTGCAGACTTGAAAACAAGTATTATTTTACTATATTTAGAGAGGCAAAAAGGGGCCAGGGTGGTAGTTTTAACATAATAGAGTGAGAAATACATGAATGTGTTCCTGACCCTATAGTGCTCTTTTAAGCAAGAGTATGTGAAGAGTAGTTAGGGTTGCCACCTTTCTTGGAAAAAAATACCAGCCTTAATCATTTGTATAATTAATTAGTTATGCGTGACATCACATGATTTAAATCACAAGGAGTGACATCAGAGAAAATTCTGTAAAATCACCAACAAACTACTCACAGCTTGATTCTGCTGTATAGATGGATTGCTCCCAGTGTCCCCCTGTCTCCCAGTGTCTCAGTCTCGCAAGTCACCCAGTGTCTCAGTGTCCCTATGTATCACAGTGTCAGTGTCCCCATGTCGCCCTGTCCCCTAGTCTCCCAGTGTCTCAGTGTCCCCATTTCTCCCAGTGTCCCAATGTCTCAGTGTGTCCCCATGTCACTAGGATACTGGGGACACAGTGAGACATGGGGACACTGAGAGACCCGGGGACACAGACACATAGGGACACTGGGAGACATGGGGACACTGAGACATTTAGGGAAACTGGGAGAAATGGGGACACTGAGACACTAGGGACACAGACACTGGGAGACATGGGAACACTGAAACATTTGGGGACACTAAGACACTAGGGACACAGAGATATGGGAACACAGACACTGTGAGACTAGGGGACACTGGGAAACTAGGGGACACTGGCTGGGATACAGACACTTTGGGGACACTGGGAGACATGGGTACAGTTGTGGACATAGACATGGGTACACTGGGAGACATGGGGACACTAGGCACACTGAGACACTAAGAACACAGACACTGGGGGACATGGGGACACTGAAACATTTGGGGACACTAAGACACTAGAGACAGAGACATGGGAACACAGACACTTGGAGACTAGGGGACACTGTGAGACTAGGGGACACTGGCTTGGAGACAGACACTTGGGGACACTGGGAGACATGGGGACATATAGGGACACATGGGGACACTAGGCACACTGAGAGACATGGGACACAGACACTGGGAGACTTGGGGACACTGAGACACTAGGGACACTGGCTGGGGGAAATGGGGACACTGGGAGACATGGGGACATAGTGTCTCCGTGTCCCAATGTCTCCCAATGTCCCTATGTCTCACAGCGCCCCCATGTGTCTCAGCATCCCCATGTGTCTCAGCATCCCCATGTGTCTCAGTGTTCCCTAGTGTCTCAGTGTCCCCATGTTTTCCAGTGTCCCCAAGTGTCTCAGTGTTCCCAGGTCTACCAGTGTCTGTGTCCCCATGTGTCCTAGTGTCTCAGTGTCCCCTAGTGTCTGTGTCCCCATGTGTCCCCTAGTGTCTGTGTCCCCTAGTGTCTCAGTGTCACCACATGTCCCCTAGTGTCTCAGTGTCCCCATGAATCCCCTAGTGTCTCAGTGTCCCCATGTGTCCCTGCTGCCTTTCCCCCATCCCTCACTTACCTGAGCTGTAGAGCTGCTGTCTGGACTCTGTGCTGTGCTGCTGCTCCCCCACAGATCAGTGAGTAGTAGAGAGAGGCAGGGATATGATGTAACTTCCTATTCCTGCCTCTCTTCACACACAGTGACCCCTACTGGCCGGTGCTGGTAGTGCAGAGTAATCTCCATTTATTCTGAGAAAAATACCTGCATTTGTATTGCCAGTATTACTGCAATACCAGCACGGC